ATGATCATAAAATCACTACAATATTATTAGAAAAAATTTTCAAATGTTCATTTTGTAAAGTAAAAAGTAATATAAAAAAAAAACATTATCATGATTACATAAAGTTTTATTTAACAGGGGATCCACCAAAATTTTTATTAAAAAAGACACCAGAATATCAAATAAATAACGTATTATTTTTATTTACCTTACAAAAAATTAATTTAAAAGCTAGGAAATTTATCCCTATAACAATCATTACAAGGTTTCCCATAAGGTTCCCTTTCCTCAGGATAAACATCAAAATTACTGGCATCACCTTCTCCATTGACGACAGGTACATATGGTGCTTGAATTTCTCGTCTGAGTAATCGATCCCAATCTACACCTTTAAACCAAACATGTCCTTTGATATCCTTACTACCGCCTTTTAAATTTCCATATCTTTTCGTCAGATCACTAGTCAACAACCGTTTTAGTAAATCTTTTGCGTCAGGATTAAAAAATGAAGGATATTTTATTCTTCCAGCTAATATCTTTTCGTATAATCGCATATGATCCTCATCATAAAATGGTGGATATCCAGCGAGCATTTCAAATATTAGCACGCCTAAAGAATACCAATCCACAGCTTTTCCATAACCTTTTGATTGAATTATTTCTGGAGCTAAGTAATCAGGAGTACCACATAAAGTCCACGTTATATCTGGTACATATTTTGCGAATCCAAAATCAGTAATTTTTATGTGGCCGTTACGATCCAGTAGGAGGTTTTCAGGTTTAAGATCTCGATAGATTATATCTTTTGAATGCAAGTATTCGAAGGCGAGGAGGACTTCAGCAGCATAGAATTTTGCGACGTGATCAGGAAAACGCTATAGCACAACATATTTAATTGGGTGGTAAATGCGGGTTAGGATGTTTGATTTTGAAGTTATCTGATGGTATCATATAAACATTTACGTTACTATATATTCTAACGTCACTCATTCACACCATCAAATATTTAATTAATTGTCGCGGTTGATGCTGAGAATTGAACCTATTTTAATATGAAATTTTAAGATTCTCACTTTTGAGATGCATTTTTTTTTTTTTTTTTTATAGTTAGGTTTATGGTTAGAATTATTTATCAATAAAAAAAAGTATATGTGAACTTTGAATAGGTTTAGTAAATTTAAATATAGATACTAAAATTTCAGCATCAGCCGCGATATTAATTAACTCCGATTCTTAAAATTTTATATCACCACCCCCTTAACAATTAATTAAACAAGTAAGTGAAAAAGACTAGCATACCTGAGTTTTCCTTAGTATGCTAAAAAGTTCACCACCCACCACATAATCCATAACCATATATAAATTGCAACTATCTTGAAAAGTTCCCCATAAATTTACCAAGAAAGGATGTTGTACTTGTTCCAAGATATGCTTTTCATTGTTCGTATGTTCAACCTGTTTTAACCTAACTACTTCACTCTTCTTTAAAACTTTCATCGCGTAAAACTTGTTGTTATACTTTGATTGTACAAGGTGAACTCTACCAAACGAGCCTGTACCTAGGGTACGGCAGATGGTAAAATCAGACAGTAAGAATTTTGAATCTGGACTTGGTCCACCTTGGTTACTATTATTTCTTTGATGCTGTGGTAAAAGGTCACCACCATTTGCGCTGTTATTTCTGCTATGATGGTCACTACTATTACTTGTAACGCTACCGTTACTAAGTTGATGTGAATGACCACCGCGCGAAGAACGTTGCATCGTTTTTGATGTAGCGTAAGGGTGTAAAGTTGTGGCTTTCGTTAGTTGTTCAAAAAAAGATTGTTGTTTTGAATAAGAACTATAAGAAGACGGGGGGGAAGGTAATTGACTAGTATTATTATTTTGTTGGGGTGACGTTAATCGAGAACTTGTGGTAGAGGAGACAGGAGAAGAAAAGGTAAAAGGGTGAGTAGAATGGGTATGTGAAAGATAATTACTAACTATTTTATTATTTATATTTTTTATCCTTGTCTCTAAGGTAAGTGATATTTGTTTGGTTTTTTTTGGTACGGAAGTTAATACTGAGGGAGATAAAGTGATAGAATTTTGTTCATGATTTTTTTTAGTATCATTAGATGTTAAAGAGTTATGATGATTGAGCATTACTACTTGAGGTTATTTAATTTCCTGGGTTATGTACAATTCCTGGATATGTAGTGATTCGTGTTGAGTGCGCTTGTTTGAATTTTATTTTTTTGGGAAAGAGATAAAATGTAGCATATAATGATTATATAGATGAATTTATGGTGAGTAACGATAATTTAACAAAATCGATTGAATCAACTTTTATTTGACGCATCAGAGATGGCCAATCAAGGTGAATATAGAATTATGGATAAGGAAACAGTAGCACAAACAGATCTTAAAAATATAAAACAAGGGATTTTCGGGTTGGTATAAAAATTTGTGCTTTCTAAACAGAAAAAATATTGATGTACAGAGGTTAAGAAACGTTAACGAAGTAACAATTTTTTTAGTCCTTGTTATCGTTAACATGATGTGTAGCGGTAGTGTTGTTTGTTAGTATTTGTGCTAAGAAATGGGAAGTATACACGTGATTAAATCTAGGTGATTGGTGTGTATAAATCAAGAAGTAACAGGTTTTTACAAATTCCAAATTCGTTCTAGCTTTTTGCTTTTCGATACCATATTACAGTCAGGAGTATTCCGCGATATGGAAATGATCTGCAAATATATTAGAAGGGTATTCTAAAATCGATTTCAA